GAGAGCATCACAAGTAGCTGTGTTTGAGCCTTAGCAATCCTTACTTACTGATATTACCGATTTGAAAATGTCAGACCTTCTCCCAAAGGCTCTCACCTCTAAACTTTGGGTCTGGTCTGTGACGGTGATTTGGACTTTTTGGATGTTGGAAATGTGTTCGTAAAATCTTTTCCGTACCAACAATTGCACCTATGGTATTTGCACTTGTGCTTAGATTACGCAGCAGAGTGTCGAGACATCTATTACAAAGAGGGAGACGGTGAAAGATGACGACGATGGGGATGATGTTGACGATAGCACAGAAGACGATACCATCAGCGAAGAAGCCTCCTTACCACCCTGTAAAATCTTGCGCTTGTCACCTCGCCCTGCAATACGCTATTATACTGAGGCGGTGGTGGATGATGCAACAAGAGGCCTTCTTGAAGCTGCCTACGTTCCTGACTGTCCTGATTGCAATCGGCGCTTTCCAGATCCCAAACCATCCAACTTGATACTGCACCTCCATGCCTATCGCTACACAGGCTCCGATTGGTCCTACTCTGTACCCCCGCCGGAATGGGCCTTTGATTCAATTCAGTTGGAAGAGCTGGAAGCACGTATTGCCGAACGATTGCCTCTTCTCTAGGTCTGTGATAAAATCAGGAGCTTGGTTTTGTACTTGAATTTTGATTATGCAAGGCTTTACTTAAATATTTAAGTAGCTGTTTATATCTGCCTGGTCGAGCTTGAGGCTTAGGATTGGCAGATGGCATTATTAGTGGTTTGTATTATTGCCGCATTTCGTTAATTGTAGTATCTCTACCCACTTAACAACCGAATCGGAAAGCAGCGTGTTAACCCGGAAACACAGCACTTTGTGACATCAACTCCTTGTTTTTACGGTTACAGTAATGTATGCACAAGGGAGGTGTGCCTTATTCGGTTTGAGAATTTTTTCGGTCCAAAGTGTGTCCTTCCAAGCGGTCATTAAGGGTAAGGGGGATACCATTTGAGCTGTACTTCGATGCAAGTGGTAAATAAGTACAAGTGTTTTATTGCTAGCGTTTCTACGTACGCCCCAAGGAATTAGCATCTTATTCACGAGTTTAGGGTTGGATGGGAGTTTTTCAAGTTAAAATATTTAGGAAGACTGATAACGCGCGCATGAAATTTGATAAATCCATGGGTTTTGTCGGCGCATTACACACGTCGCTTGCGCATCATACTTCTCCGAAGGATTTATCTGGTTTCATTTTAGAAGTAACTTTGTGCTGTATTAGCCATGCTATGTCACTTCGCGTTCGCTTGCAACTATACCTCGCTTATGTGTGTGTCGAATTGAAAATTATTCACGGTGATGGATGAAGGTGAGTTGCCACGTGCTTTTGATGTATTGCTTGGAAAAATCAAGAAGCTGTGATCAGGCATTGTCATTTAAGGGGCTGAGGCTTCGTCTGTCTTGGAAGCAGACTTACAGAAAAAGTAACTAAGTACGTGACTACGACGGTGCATTGATTGTGATGTTACTCTTTTGGTAGTTATGCCGCACCGCGTTTAATGGTGCAGAGACGTATATTTTGGTATGCTGCCCATTATCCACTTGACAGGATCTTTAAATCAATCCACCGTATGACTATAGGCTCCCAGAAAGTATACCACTCGGCTCCGGCCTATTTCGAAGGTCGGTTCACCTGGCAGAGGCGGCATGGTCTCCAAAGTTAAACAAACGAAGCAATGTGGTGGCAGCTGTCATGTTTACGTGACCGCTTACGTGACTTCATGACGTTTGGCGATCACTTTAAGATTTGTAAGCGTGGGTTGGTCTTCGAGCCAAGCTCAGGCCTAATTACTGTGTTCTTCTTAGAATGCATGTATACAGCTCTATTTGTAGCGTCCCGAGACTTCCCACCGGGTGGAAGAGGGCAGTAAGTGAAGCTGGATACACGTATTCTAAAGAGGACAAAGCAACTGGGTCTGAGCGTGGTCCGAAGGCCAGCCTACGAGTGCAAGGACCAGACAAACAAACAAAGCATTACACTACTTACTGCTTTTTGGGACGCTACAGCAGCATCTCGAATTTGAACGCCTTGTTGATTTGACAGCTACATGACTGGCGGTCGCTTGGGTATGCATTCGACTCTTGGCTGCATTGAGCTGAAAATTCAGGTCCAGTCAAAGACGAAAGTCTTTCCTTCCCTTTTAAATGCAGGTGTATTTTGTTCCTCCCCAATGCATTTCGTCACTTACTTCTAAGTTTCAAGGCGTTACGTTAAGCTGCTCTGTCCGTAGAAAACACACTGTATCTTTACTTCAGCCAAGTTCTACAACCCCGCAAATTCTGGAAACCGCCGATCAATTGCCCAAAACTATTTAATCGAAATTCACCTTCTAAGGCTTAGTTCTGTGGCAAAATGAGAATAGTACAACAGTAGTACAATTGTGATTAAATTAATCAGATTGGCTCACATACAGTTTTGGTCTAATCGGCATATAATTAGCACTTTAAAACTAGTGAGTTAACTATTAATTACTTATAAACTATTAGGTCTTGACATTCCTGCTTTTTGTTTGTATTTATCTCTGTAATTAAGCTATCTGGCCTACTAAGCTTCCATTTTTAAACTAACCCAAGTTGCGTCTTTGTGTACTTGCTGCTTCACGATTTTTCTTTAGTTTCGCATTCCTGCGAAAGATCCGGCTTGCCTTTTCTAAAATTTACTTGAAACTATAACTTGGCTCAAGTGACAACTGCTCTCTGGTGCTTTGAACATGATTTAAAATGATTTACTAAATTGATCTTTTGGTGAATGCGTTTGTTTATTTTATGTATGCGTAGTATGGAGCAGCTTCTTCCTACGCGAAGTACCTACAATGTCATTTTAACTTGAAATGTGACTAGCGTTTTAAATTAGACTCAGACAGTGCATGTATCGAGAAGTTTGATACACTCATTGCTTCCCCTTTGTTATTCAGCAGCCGGGAGTAAATAATGACGGCCTTGGTCATTAGTCAACAGAGGTGATGAAAAGTTTGACATTTCGGCGGCAAAGGCGTGGGGTTCCAAGCGCGTCCATGCATAGTTTGCTATCTTAGCCCTGGAAAGCACCAAGGAAACAATTTGGATGCTATGCTAAGTATAGTGGTACGTGGACCGCCTGTCTGGCCTGTGTCCTAATAAAACATGGATTGCAGTGTAATAAAAATGTAAAGTACTTTCGTCTTTTGGATTCGGTTCTCTCTTGCCATACTTGGCCATCTACTGTAATACTTTGGTTTAATCGAAAAATCCAGTCTTTTAACTGAAGTCTTTATATTTTATAATTTACTTGCACAGGAGTTCGTGTTATCCGATCGTTCTTTTAAACGGGTTTGTCGAGGCAAAGAATGCGACTCTTCAGCCATCTCCACTCCAATCCATTTCTTTTTCTGCTAATATCAATTTAGGTAATCTAAAGAGATCCATAAAGAGATTAAATAGCTAAGCGAATTGAAGTGTCCGCAGCGAAATCTCTTGTGATGGCTTACTGTCATACTTTGTACCGTACTTCCCTAACGAGACAAAAGCTTGGGAACTGTATTGTCATTAAGCAGTTCATAGCTAAGAGTAAAAAATAAGGACCTGGTCTCTGCATTTTTAAGTATTACTATTTGCCGAATGGCACATTGTCGGCTCTCCTTTTTGCCTTTGAATGTGAAAAAATTTTTTTCCGCAGTGGTGAGTTTAAAGAGACTGAGAAACGCATGTTTTTTGGTCTCTCTGACAGGTTTGAATTAACTTTTCGGTCTTATCCACTCTGAACAATTTGAAGGCTTCCTTTTATGGTTAGTCTACCACAAGTGAATGCCTGATAGGATGCTTCTGCAAATCAATTTAGTTTTAGACGCCCTCCTTGAACGTAGAAAAGGGAGAGAGCTTGTAAACATACATTCTGTTATCCCTCCTTCCTGCCTTCTGTCTTCTCCCTCTCTCCAATAAGACTTCTTTCGTTCCTATGTTGGTTTTCAGTTGTTAGTTCTGGGCCCATTCTGCTTAAGTAAAGGGCTCCTCTTTTCACTTTAACCAACTTTGACCATGAAAGTAGATCTCAGTCATCATTGTTAGGCATTTAGAATGCAGTCAAATATTGACGAGTAGCAGCACTTGTGTTGCCCCAGATGCACTCACTACAATAGAAAGCAAGGCTCATGGGAATAAAGGGGCAGGTAAAACGGAACATTTCTCACCTCAAATCATTTTTGAACTCTTCTTAATGCAAAACCCGATTTGCTAATATAGCACTTCTATGATAACTTTAAACACCGAAAGACTTTGGTGAATAGAACCACTTTTGATTCACACATTTTGAAGGCTCCTTCAAACAAGTGTGCATTAATGGTTTTAACTGCAAGCGGGAATTCTACGAGACTGAGAGGCAGTTGTACATTTTTGTCTAGCCAACCTCTATGAAGAGTAGTGGCAGATCCTCTATACCACACCAATAGCAATCCAAAGATTCTCGATTAGATGCACCACTTTTGTCGAGCTCTTCGTCTCCTTTTCGTCTTCTTTTCATCAGTTTTCTCCCGTTTGTATTGCCACCAATTTAAGTATTTGTAGGGTATAATATGCTTACGAGTGCACAATCCTCCAATGATCCAGTTCGTCTTGCAATCAACACGGTTATAAATAAGCCTCTTCACAGCATATGCTACTGAATTTAAAACAAGTAGTACGCACCATGTGATATGTAATCATGTCATTTTAACTTCAAGACTGGAGTAGATTCCAGCTTATAAGGAGCGTCATTATGATTGTGGTAAGGTAGTCACCGTTTGCGGCTCACTTCCTCCTCTTCATACCAGTAGCCTCACCCTCTAAATGATGCAGTGTTAGTTCCTCTGCTGGAGGATGTCAAATAATACTAGAGAAAGAAAGAAGCATCAACATAAGTTAATGCATCAGAAAACAAAATTGACAGTTTCCGTCACTTTGTTCCTCCTCTCCTCTTCCAGTAGGGGGATATGGTCCTTCACAGTCACTCTCTCTCGTCTGGTGCATTAATCTGACAGTGGAACCCTGTTAATAGGTAAAATATATTGTGGAAACTAATCTCATCCCACTTTTCTTTAAAAAACTACTATAATAAAAGCTAACAAATGATACTTACGGTGGACGGGAAAGAGCGTAGCTAAATGATTGCTCACTCGCTCTACTAACAGATGTTGTTGGGCCGGACCAGACGAACATTCAACAGTTAATCTGGAGTGTTTCGGATCTGAACAAACTTACAATTATATAAAAGTTCAATTTAAGCTTTACAAATAGCGATGTCATAAATGCTGTAGTTTTGGAGCTTACTGTGCAGATGACAATTGTCTCAGCACATCATCTAGTCCTGCACTGATGGCGTTCACAAACCAACACAGATAAACAGATTTCCCAAACAATTACGTTGATTCTGTCGACTCACCTCTTTTCTCATCAAAGTTTGCATTTTATGTTTTCCAAATGTTCCAAGTATTCATGCAAAATGCAATCAATTGGGTTACGGATATCTTTGTGAGGCAACTTCTACTTATTTCCAAAATAGTAGCACGCAAACGGAAAACGCTAAGCAATTAAGTAGAAAGCAAAGTTAATTATAGAGCGCCACAACATTAAATAAG